TAAAAACATGGAAATACAGAAATCCACGTGTGAACTGCAGCTTGTTCAGAGCATTTTAAATAAACAGGTGAAAATGACAAATAAAGAACCTTGAATCCTTGAAAAGGTCATGAATAGTGCCAGGGTTTGTCTTTTGTATATATGACACTTATTCCTGATTCTGTCAATGTAAAGGAGTTGGAATTTGTTTGTGAAGCAAATCTTGTTTTCCAACAAAGTTCAGTCAGCTCCTCTGGATGTTTTCTTTTTGTTGAAACGTTTCGTCTTTTATCCAAAAGACTTCGTCAGTCCGAGGAGCCACAACAAACTCATTCTTATAAACAGCACCTTCTCATAGTGGGTCAACCAGTTTGATGGTGCTCAGATGGTTTCTGGAGTCCGCCCTCTCCCCCGCCGACTCGTCTGAGGCAGCCATGGCCAAAGTGGTTCAAAACATCAAAGTTCATGCTCAATAATCCAGCATGATGAAGTGTTCTGGATGAAAGACAAAACGTTTCAACAGAAAGAAACCGTCCAGAGGAGCGGACTTCACCCTGGTGGATTTTTTACCTGGATTACTGAGCATGGGGACGTGTTGATTTGATGATCATCTTCTGTTGAGCTAAGCTGACCTGTCCATGTGGCACATTATGAAAACTCACAGACATTAGTTCCCAACCCTGGTCCTCGGGGAACACTACCCTGCATGGCTTAGTTGTGATTTAATGACTTCCTCACGTTCTGCAGAAACCTGCTAATCATCCATTCATTCAAACCAGGGAAAACAGCTAAAACATGCAGGATGGTGTTCCTCAAGGACCAGAGCTGGGAACCACTGGATTACACATGTCAGAGTCCATGGAAGAGTGGGCGTTGGCACCAGAAGGTGAAAAAGATTTGATGCTAAGTCAAACGATCGTGGGGGGAGGAGAGAAATACCAAAGCAGAAGGTCTGCTCTTTACACGGATTTAAACACACGTTTCAAAATCTCCGTCTGTTTGTTTCATTTATCTGAAGCCGGCTTGTGCTTTTTGACGGGGAAGCCCACAGAATGAACGCTCAACATCTGGTGGAGATACGTTTTCTATACGTGGGCTGTGTTTTTATGAGATCTGCGTTGTGATCGCTTCCAGACGCACTGCGGTGGAAAAGTTTGGCCCCCGTGTTGAGGCCCTCTCTCGTACATTCTCTTCACCTTCTTCGCCGCATGATTTTCACCACACTTCATTTTTTTATTTTTCCCTCAGCTTCAATCATCCAACTTTTTCCTCCTCCGTCTCATTATCATAACTCTCCTTCCACTCTGGATTCCCTCCCTCGGTCGTTCCAGCGGTGTTTCCCTCCTCTCTTGGCAGGTCCTGCTCATTCTTCACAGCCCAGAGAGAATATCTGGGTTTTCAGACATTTCCTCTTCAAATTCCTCCAAACCAGGACTCGTATCGAACACACATATAAAAATGCGTATTGCATTTAGTCTTAGCTCCAAAAGAAAAATGGCTGAAGTGATTTTTCACATCTACCAATATTTGCATGTTATGAAGTTATGATGATGTCGTGGGTTTTATTACATTAATTTAAAAGCTTGTCAGAACTTTCAAAAAGGATATTTTAGATGCAAAAACAAAATATCACAACTTTAACAAGACTAACAAAATGAATGCTACATAAAAAGGTATCAGTATATACCACTCGTAATTATTTTTATGTATTTTTATTGTTACAAGCTGAAGACGGAACATTTAGAAGCGCTG